AACGAAAAAAGAGTAGATCTAAGTCTCGGGAGCGAAAGCGAAGCCGTTCACGCGATAGAAAACGCAGTCCAAGTAGACAAAGACGAAGAAGTCGAAGCCGGTACGTTTTTCATTTGATCATTGCTTATCTAACTGAGCGGCCAACAATTATTGCAGGTAAATGTTCATATTTTTGATTTCGGGTTTAGCTGGCAACATACATCAGTTATAGTTATCTCGGACTCTTTATGACAATCCACATTGAAACAATTGGGTTAGAGCTTTCACTCAAACTACTCGCCTAAATAAGTGAACTTCCTAGATTCAGCTGCCATACCCTCCGGTATTATGATTTTGCTTGAGGCGTAGCTCCGAAGGTCGCCATTGAGATCGTTTTCCAACTTGTTCTCTTTCCACAGCTCCCATGGTTGTTGAAATTTGCCTTGGCAGTTTTGTGACAATTCAGTTCTATCAGCATAACTCTCGAAACCTGTCAGCGCAGTGTAAACGTTTTCACTGTTTAGTGATCGTCGCAGACGTTCCCGCTCACGTGAGAAAAAACGTGAACGCAGTCGGTCAAGGGATAGAAAGAAGGATAAGGAAAGAGAAAAGGATAAAAAGGAAAGAAAACGAAGCAGAAGCCGTGATAGAAAGAAGGACAAGGTTTGTTCTTTTGCTATGATTTGATTTTTCAAGCATTCAGTGTGTTTGCTTTTCAGGAAAGCAAACGCGACCGTAGCTCAGAACGCAAGAAAGATAAGGATAAAGATAAGAAGGAGAAATCAAAGGTAATTTTCGTAGCCCTTGCCACCATAGCGAAGCAAAAGTGGTTTTTTTTTCAGGATACTAAGGTTGAGGAACTTGACGAAGAGACGCTACGAGAGCGACTGCTGGAAAAAGCGGCAGTACGAAGTGGAAAAGATGGGTGCGTTTCTCTTCTTACACTTGGTTGAATTCTCACTTTTGAATAAGTGATCTCTAGATCTGATAGCGATCGCGAAAGTGATTTGGACAAGAGTGAGGACAAAACTCCCAGTAGGATCAAGAACGAAAGGAAACGAAGGCGCAGCGATAGCGACTGAGTTGAAATTTGTGTTTTACGCTGAATAAGATTTGCTATTTGATCGTCATATTGCAGGCTTGTCAAAATTATTTTTTTTGCTACGGTTTGCATTCATTAGTTGTTTTTGTGGATCTCTAAATCTGTTAAATTCTATTCTTTATTGCTCTGACTGTTCTGTAGTTAAGGAGGAGTTCTTAATTTAGAGAACAATCTTTCCGGTATTGGGATTTTCTGAAATAGTTCGGTTTCTCCTCGTTGCATACCAAAAGTTGCAAAACATTTTCGCTGAACATGTACTGTTACTGGTTCCTCTCTTTTGTTACCGAATAAAATTTTCATGTCATTTGGACTGATTGATGCATGGAAGATTTTCATTTCCCGTGGTGTCTATAATATTTCTTCACAATTCCTTTGTATACTGCATGAAAGTGTATCTCAGGAATTGATACAGATGTTGTCCTTGCGTAACGGAATAATTTCGGCGCGGTGGATATGTGCTAAACAATTGGTGTACGCGGAATATGGCGACCCTGCCAAGGTAACTTACAAAACTAATTGGATGGGCTTTCGGGAATGGAAATTGAATATCATGCAATTAAGGTAGTGAAATTACAAACCATTGACCTACCGGACAAGCCTCCGGCTGGACACGTGCATGTGAAATGGCTTGCAGCACCAATAAATCCAGCTGACTTGAACACGCTACAAGGTGTTTACCCAATAAAACCACCTCTTCCAGCAGTAGCCGGTAATGAAGGCTATGGCCGTGTGGAACAGGTATGCAACAATTTGTCGTAGGCGATTATTGCGGCGCGTGGAACAGTATGCACAATTTGTTGTCGATTATTGCCGATTTTGATGGTGTGAAATAAATTTATCCCATTGTCTAAAGTGCTTTTATTTGAGGATGAGGGATTGTTCTCTTTATGCATTTATCTACTCACATTATTGACAATAATTTCTTTTCAAGCTTGGATATATTGTGGCTGTATGGGTTAATATCTCGGTCTTTGAATGCTTACAGAGCCCAAGGATCTCCTGTGTTGTAAGTAAACTACTGTTCAGGTGGTGAGGTTTAAGCTTTACGTGTGGGTGGATCATGTGTTACCTGCAAAGACTTGGTAAGGAATTTGAAGAACGACGTTCATCACAAGGTAAACTGAGTTTCGATTAAGACAACACTACCTCAGAAAGAAAGTGTACTTTGCAGTGAAGAGTTATTTTCATAGTAAAGTACGCTGAAAGCTGAAATTCCACGTGTCTACCACGTGAATCGCACACTGCTTATCGATGTCAAGGACTTCGTAGATTTGCAATACCGGAGACACATTTTATTTCAAACGGATGCAAATTCTGCTGGGGAAGCTTATCAGTTTACATTTCAATAATAATTTCTAATCAGTTTATCGTTTTCGGAAATATTATGTGTTCAAGATTAAATGCGTTTGCGCATTCATTCGGTGAATATTGTTCGTAAAAGAGACAATCTCGCTGATCTAGTCAAGGAATTGAAGGAATTAGGAGCCGATGAAGTAATCACCGATGAGCAGCTCGCTAAGGAATACCGGTAATAATTTTTTCTTACCTGTATTAGTTTGATCTAACAGTACGCTAGTGGAAGATCAAGAGTGGTATGCTTTGTTGTCCAAAAACCAGATGTCGTGGAAGCTACCGTTCTTGTGCGAACTTGGATTTCGCTGTGCATGGTAACTTTGGAGGCATGAGCAAAATGATTACAGGCAGTCTCTTCGTTTTGAAAGTACTTCTTGACTGTTTTCTATATGTAGGCATTGTTTCAGATTCAAAGGATCCCATATTAAAGATATTCCGTTTGCATTCGGAATGTGATGTCACGGAAGTTTATATGAGAATCCTGTAACACTGATGGTTAGTTATATCTTTTTTAGCATTTTCATGTACTTTCATCTATTGCGTTCTGCTTTCCGCGATGTGATTTTTCATTGTTTCTTCCTGTCAGGAAGTAGAAAATGTATGCCGAATTGGGCGGGATGGATCAAATCTGTTGGAGAATTCGTCTGCCTCTTGTCGAAAAGCGACGGCTTGAAGATCATGCCGCTGCTATCGAAGCGGCTTCTGTTCAGTTTCGTCAAAAAGCAGTTATTTGTTATGTCTGAGTAATAGCTCCCGTACATTTCCAGATGTTGTAATAAATAGTTGTTGTCGCTGTGCTGGTAAATTTTCAAGTACTTATCACTTCTATACGTTGTAATAATAATGTTGTCACTGTGCTGGGAATGTTCAGTACCCTGTCACTGGTAGAATATTATATATTAGGTTGTCTCATAAGTGATGTCGTTTTTTTTCAACCAAAAAATTTTCATCTAAATCATGAAACTTTTACATCGTTTTATATATCATTCGAAAGAGAATTGTCTGCTCTACAAAATGCTGTGTTCCGCTTCCACCGCTATTTCAGAGTTTTCGAATTTCAGGCCAGCAAAATGGGAGGTCTCGCCGGCAAAAATTGACCAAACCGACAACTGGCTGTAACTTTATTTTCCCTGGGGAGAAATCAACCAGTGATATACCCTATACTTACCCATGACCTTCTAAACATTCACTCTTGGGTTGCAGAAAAAGCTTTGCCGTTTTTCTTTTGCTCACGGATAAGCCATAGCAATTTTCAAATTAAAATTGTTCCTCGTAAACGTCATTGTTTCATATCGAGTGGTGTTCCTTTTACGAGCACTTCTTCTGCTCTACTCGCTCATTTGTTTTGTTTCTCTGTTTGTTGGGAATTAGTTCGAATTTTAGATGTTTCGGTATAAGGTGCTTTACCGCGAAAGTGACCACATTTCTTTGAAAAAAATTATCCCTTAGAAAATGAGAAAATCAACCAGTCGTACATTTCCTAACTTAGTCATGACTTGTTCTTCAAATTCAACCAGTTCTTCAACGTCTCGGCCATAAAAAAATTTCGACCTAGATCACAGGTAATGGTGCTCGATCGTCGAGTTCTGGTTGAAAAACCAGCTCTGGAAATTGAACGACGCGATTTGTAGGAAAACCTAGTAGTGTAATGATTAGAAGAGGTCATGCATAAGTAGAAGGTACATCATAGATTGATTTCTCCCAAGGAAAGATAATGTTAGAGATAGTTGTCGGTTTGGCCATTTTTTGTCGGCCGGACCTCCCATTTCACAGGCCCAAAATTTGAAAACCCTGGAAGAAATGTGGAAGTGGGACATAGCATTTTGTAGAGCAGACAATTCTCTTTCGAATGGTACACAACACGATGTAAAAGCATGGAGGTTTAGATGAAAATTTTTTGGATGAAAAAAAGCGACACTGTTTATGAGACAACCTAATATATTTGCATTTTTCAACTCTTCCTCGGT